CAAAGAAAGAAATGGGAGAATGAGGATAAATTCCAGGCAAAGGTGAATTTCTAGCACTGCATATTAGCAAAACTAATTTGGGGATGAAGCTGGACACAAATGACATGGATTGGCCTTGAGGAATTTCTCTTCTTGGCTCAGTCATGTGAATGAAACCAAGACCATGCACTTGATGCCCTCACCAGTTTAGAGCACAGCTTTGACTGGGAGGCTGCTACAGACCCCTTTGGATCTCTGCTGTGTTCCATCTTTGGAAAAATAAACTTGTTTTGGAGGAAAATGAAAGTTTCTTGTTAGTGCCATGTGCAGGTAGGAGATGGGGACACTGCCACCAGTGATGGCAACACGGTCCCTTCTGGGAAGAGATGGGAAAGAGCACGGAGATGGGAACCAGCATGGAACTCACCTCCCAGAGCACATAAAAAACGGAGCACATGAGGTCTTAGGCACAAAACAACATAATGTGGAGAGGGAAAGGACATTGTGGGACTGAAAATATCAAACAACCGAGAAAAGCTTCCTGTGGACTCAGAACAAATTCTGTTGATAGTTGTGGTTTCCAGCAGCTGGGATGGAGCAGCACAGCCCTGGTGTCTGGCACACTCCTTGATCCCAACTTCTGTGGCAATCCAATGACTGAGAGCATTTGTGGAATGGAATACCTTAAATATGGGCAAATGCACCCAAATTTGACCAAAGGCCATCCACATGAACTGAATAAGATAAGAACAGAATCATGGAATCGTTAAGGTTGGAATAGACCCATTGAGTCCAAGCACTCCCCAGGACTGGTATTCACCATTAACCTGTGTCCCCAAGTGCCACATCCACGTGGCTTTTGAACCCAGGCATGGTGATTTTGCCACTGCTCATGAAATATGAAAACAAAACTAATAAAACAATAATAAAATAATATTTGGAAGCAGTCCCAGCTAAAGAAGGTGCACTAAGTTCCCTGTATCCATGCATAAAAATAGAGGGGGATTTTTTTTCCCCCTCCACTGTGCACCCAGAGCCTGTCAGGCTCTGTGATCACCCCATGGCTGGGAGCTGGGAACAGACACCTGAGCACAACCTGCCTGCACAGAGAAATTTCCTGAGACGCTGCACTTTGGAGATGCCAAATGATCCTATTACAGACTTATCAAAGCAGTGGGGATTAGTAGAGATAAAACAACTTTCAGCACTGGTCTCTGCCTTTCTTTGCTCTTTTGTTTGTCTAAATAGCTGTTTTGGTGAGTGCAGGGAAATAATAGGAGGCAATTATTGCTCCATGTAATGTTCCATGTTTGGTTTTGTAATCCTTCAGTTCTGTTTATTCTCATTTTGAGCAAAAAAGTTCCCCCTGGAATATGCTAATCGCCTTTCAGCTCTGCAGAGCTCTCCTCCTGCAGAGGCTCCTGGCTTTGTGTGCACCTGATGGCAGCGCAAGGACAGCGCTGTCCCCAGGGCGAGGGGCACTCAATGCCTGTTGTCTGGGCTGCACGTCCAGGCACAAAACAGTGGGAACAAATCCACCCAGGCACAAAACAGAGGCAACAAATCCACCCAGCAGCCCAGCACGGGGAGCTCCCTCGCTGGCAGCCCTCTGTGGCTCAGCTCCTTTCACCTTCAGGAAGGCGGAGAGGGATTTTGGGTGGCGAGGAAGGAGAAGAGGGAACCAGAGGGCTTTTCAAAAGCAGCTTTTTGGAAAAGCTGACCTTATCTGAGCTTTTAATCAGCTTTTAGATCCTGAAAATTTGTATCCAGCCTCTCCTTAGCAGGTGATCTCTCCTAAAATCTTCTTAGGAAGATCTAGAGAAGGGTTCACTTGTGCTTTCCACACCTTGTCCCTCCAGCCTCGGGAGAAACAAGGAGAAGTCTGGGAAGCACCACAGCCCCCTAAGCACCATTAGAAGAGGCTTCTGGGACCTGTAGCCGCAGGATTATTGCAGGGGGATGGATTTTGCTCCAGCAGATTTCTGTCACACGACTCTGTGGGTAATCCCAGGGATCAAAACTGGGGGGACATCAGCTTTTCCTGTTGAATGCCTCCCTGGAGGCTGAATCCCCCTTTCCTGGGAGCCCCAGCAGTCAGGTGGCAGGAGATGGTGTCCCAGTAGACTGAAGAGCTGTTGTTGCCATGTTGGCTCAGTTTCTGCTGATTAAGGGACCCCAGGAAGGGATCTAAACCCTTGTTGTGACCACCTGGGTCATGGAATCATGGGATCATGAAAACCCACCTGCACTCTGGAGCCTGGGAGCAGCTGTGCAGAAGCTGGGAAGGAAGGACATGTTTAAATACTTTTGCTGGCTCAGGGTCTCAAACTGTGGGCACAGGGTGGATGAAGGCTTTCCTGGATGGAAGATCATCAGTGGAACACAAACTGACAGGCAGAGTGTTGGTGTCTGGTGTCCTTGTGGATCTCCAAGGGGATGGTGCTCATTCTCCAGACCCCTTCTGCAGCTTGGTCTGGAGCACAGAATCAAAGAAATACAAAATGGTTTGGGTCAAGAGGGACCTTAAAGCCCACCCTGCCATGGGCAGGGACACCTTCCACTATCCCAGGTTGCTCCAAGCCTTGTCCAACCTGGCCTTGGACACTTCCAGGGATCCAGGGGCAGCCACAGCTTCTCTGGGCAATCTATGCCAGGGCCTCACCACCCTCACAGCCAGGAATTTCTGCCATGTATCTCACCGAAATCTTTTAGCTGGAACCCATTCCCGCTTGTCCTGTCACTCCAGATCCTGATAATAAGTCTTTCTCTGGCTTCCCAGTAACCTCTTCAGACCCTGGAAGGTGCTGTGAGGTCTCCACACAATCTTCTTTTCCCCAGGCTGAGCAGTCAGCTCTCCTAGCCTGACTCCCTCGTGGAGGTGCTCCAGTCCCCTCAGCAGTTTCATGGCTCTTCTCTGGACTTGCTCCAAGAGCTCTGTGTCCTCTGTCACCAACCAAAAAAGGCACACCTGGGCAGGGATATGAGTTTCACCAGTCTGAACTGTACCTGCTGGGACACAAAGAACATCTCAACACCATCACAGAACCATTAAGGCTGAAAAACCCCTCCAGATCATCACCTGTGACCAAGTACCACCATGCCCACTTAATTATGGTGCCACATCTGCTTATTTTTTGAGCACTGTGGAGCTGTTTATGCCCTGATTTGAGGCAAACACCACTACCCAGGGCATCAGGCCTAGCTGGAGCACAGGGATGCTCCCACGAGGAATCACGAGCACACATTCCATGTTTGGCTGAGCTGAAGGAACTCCTCATCTCAGGATTTTCAAGCAGGAGGAGCAGCCTGCTTGTTGTGCCTGGAGTGCCTTTGTCTCATTTGTTCAAGTTTGGTGTGGCTCCCTAAATCCTGCAGCTGGGAATTACACGGGCCAGCTCTCAGCCTCGGCTTGGTGGGTTTGCTCCTCCTGCTCCTCCGGCGACCGCGGAAAACAAACCCGGAGTGCTCACAGCGGATTAAACACCAAGCCTCCACTGATACCCACCCACAGCAGCTCTCCAGCAGAGCCAGGACAGGTGACAATATCCCACAAATATACATAATAAAGCTCTGGAGAAGTGCGCTGGGAGCTGGGCTGGCGGGGAGGAAGCAGCCGAGGAAATAATGCATAATTCACAAGGCAAATTAATCACTCCTCTCTCCTCTGCCTGTTGCAATTATGTGGAACACGAGTAATCACCAGGTTACTATTTTTTATTAGTATTATTATTATTTTTATAGCAGCAGAGTAAACAGTGGGGCCGGCGATGTTTGAGTGAGGACAGGCTGAAAGCTGCAGTCACATTTAGAGTGGTGCCTCACCAAGATTTCTATCTGGCTGTGCTTTCATTGTGGAAAGGGCTTTTTTTCTTTTTTTTTTTATTTTTTTTTTCTAATTCTTTCCCTTTTAGATTGGTGGGGAGTTGTGGAAAAGAGAAGGGCGGGGGGGTTGGTGAGCGTTAGAGCAGAGAGATTGGGTAAAATTATTTTCCTTCATGCTTGGCTAGGCCTCAGTGTGAAAAAGGGGACCCAGCTTAGGGCTGGTGGGAGATGGCAGATAAAAGCAGCTTCATTTCTCACTGACCTTCCATGCGTTCGGCACGGCCGCGCAAGGGGGAGAAGGAACAATGGGAGTCACCTCCAGAAAAACCAACCCTGAGCGCCTGCACCCGGCGAATCCAGGTGGGGAAAGAACAAAAAGAGTCAGGGCTGCACCTGGAAAGGGTTTCCAGAGCCCCGAGGGAGGTGGGTGTGGAGTGGCTGTGGGCATGGAGAGTCCCTGGGACGTGGGGCAGTGTGGGATCCATGCAGCCATCAGGACCCATCAGCAGGATGTCAAAGCAGCCTAAAGAAGCCAAATCCCATGGATGGTCTAAAGAAACAAAATCCTGTGGATGGTCTAAAGAAGTCAGATCCCAGTCCCAATTCAGCAAGAGATTCCATGCAATGCTCACTATCCATCAGCAGGAATAGGAGCAGGCTTGGAAGGGATGCCTGAGCCCCTTACTCACCAATCCTGTACATCAAAACTCTTTGGAAAATACCTGTTTTATATCTTAGGAGGAAGCAAGGCTTTGCATCACAGTGAATCATTAAAATCTTTGGGTTTGAAGGAACCTTAAAGATCACCCTATGCCACGGGCAGGGACACCTTCCACCAGCCCAGGTTGCTCCAAGTCCCATCCAACCTGGCCTTGGACACTTCCAGGGATACAGGGACAGCCACAGCTGCGCTGGGAAACCTGTGCCAGGGCCTCAGCACCCTCACAGGGAAGAATTTCTTCCCAATATCCCATTTAAACCTGTCCTGGCAGTGTGAAACCCTTGTCCTGTCACCCTTGTCCAAAGTTCCTCACCAGATTTTTCGTCAACTCGCCTTAAGGGAATGTGATGTGGACACAGCAAAGGGTGTGGTGGAGGATGCAGGGTGCAGCTGGTCCTACTTGCCACAGGTGGAGGAGTTCACCAAGAGCCTGATGGGCTTACAAAAGGGTCTCTGGAAGGCTGTGAATGTTCTTAGTGCTGGGTGGATCCCTCCTGGAGGGAGGTGGGCTCTGCTCTACCTCCTGAGAGGAGATTCTTCTTTGTGGTTTGTATCCCTCTTTCACACCCCTGAGTATCTGGGGCGCTATTTTAAGTGGGAAGGGAGAGAAAAAGTGTTCTATGCTGAGTAGGGTTGGCTGCAGGCTCTGAGATTGTGGTGCCTTGATCATGAAGACAGGTGGGTGTTTGTTCTTCCTTGCTCTTTTCTTCACTCAAGTGACTTCCATGTCAAAGTGCATCTTTCTCCTGGTCCTCACATGGTGATTTCATGGTGGTTTCACCCAGTGATTTCTTCTCCAAGAGCTTTTAAATTTCAAAGAGCTTTTCCCAGCCCCAAATTCTAGACTTGTTCCTCCACTTTACATAGAGCTCTCAGCCCCTCGAGATCCTGGGGGCAATTTCAAGCTCTCCTTGATGGTGACACTACTCACCCTGCAAGCCCAGTTAATTATCCCAGGATTACTGAAGTGTTAGTATGACATGGAGCTCTTTAGTACCTTTTGTGCCTTTGTAGTTTTTCCCAAGAGCTGTGAGTTTTCACAGGACCTGTGGCAGGGGAATTTCTTCCTTTCACCCACCTAAGGTTGAAAATGCAGAGCTGAAATACATCAGCAGAGCCCCCATCCCTGTGCAGGTGGTTCCAGGGGCAGAGCTGAGCTGGGATGTGGCTGTGGAAGTGTTTCCTCCTTTTTTTCCATGTGAGTAAAATTAAAAAGGAAGTTAAACCTTTTTCAGACCTAAATTTCCACTGACATAAAAGGCTCATCAGCCCTTGGTGCTGCTGTGTGAGGTGTCTGGCCCCAGATGACTGTTTTGCTGATGAGACCTTCCAGGGACACCTGCTCCAAGGTAAACTGGGCACCAATTAAAACAGAGTCTCTATTTAGACAACAGACACCTTTCTGGGATGAATCTGAATTATGGGGGGGGAAGTGCTTTTTGCCTGTCTGTAAATGATGCTAAAAATCAGGAGCTTATTTCCTGATTTTTTCTTTGAAATGCCACTGGAAGTTGCACAATTAATTCCCTGGGAAAGCCCAGGTTGCTACTTTTATAAAACTTTTAAAGCATTACAACTTTAAACATCAGATACCTTTTAGCCAGTTTCCCAGCTGAAGCTTTCCCAAGGAGCTTTATTGTGTCTCCCTCAAAAGTCCTGCATATGGGAGCAGTGAACAGAGAGGTGCTGTCAGACAGAAGCCTGATGTGAAGAAAATGAGAGGTGTCACGCTTCCTTCTGGTCCTTCCCAAGTGCTTTTCCAGCAAGAAGCAGCCTCCTGCCATCAGGAACTGGGCTCATCTTTGCTGAGCCACCCAGATGCCTGATAAGCTGAAATAGGGTCTGGGGGAGGTTTGCTCAGGAAATGGGGTTTGGGGAGTCCAGGGGTGCACCTGCCTCACCTCCCCAAGCCAATTTGTGCTGCTGAGCTGGAAGACACCCACTGGATGGATTTGTTTGTCTCCTGGTTGTTCTTGTTCTCTTCCAGAATCCCCTAAATTCTGCAAATTCTTATTTCTGCAGATCCTCTGTCTTTCTCCTTGACTGCGCCTCACATCAAGACAAGGACTAGCCCAGGGAGTCCTTTAGAGAGAAAAAAAAACCTTATGGAGTAGAAATCTTTCTTTCCCTAAAATAAATCAACAAGAGGAGGTTTATAATTTCTCCAGGGGGAAAATTGCACCTGCCAGCCTGTTTCCTCAGGCCTGGGCTCTTGAAGCACTTGAGCACAATTCCAGCTTGAATTGCAGGAGTTCTCCTCCTGCCTGGCTCCCGTCGGATGACTCATGGCTTTCAAAGTTGGTCACGTCCTTCAGGATCCTGTGGAATTGAATGGAGCCTTTCCTTCCCTGCAGCTCAAGGATACAGAATGGGAGCTGTCCTCCCTTCCAGCCCTGCCTCCTGCATGAGCTCATGTCAAAATGTTCTCCTTGGAAAGTTGCAGCACGGTTCTGTTTGACAGACAGGAACACAGGAACATGCTGGGTGCTTTGCCACATTTCCCACAGGGAATTTCACATCTCTTCAGTTTAAACAAGGGTTTTCTCCGTGTCTTGTTTAACCCCCTTGCTGCCCTGCCACAGGAAATATTCCTGCATGGCCTAAATCTTTATTTCCAGCTTTAGAATGGGACTAGAGGCAGAGTTGAGACAGCCTGGATTTTAGGTTAGAGGGACACTTTGCATCGTATCTTGGAGCTGATGGGCTTCACCTGCAGCTGAGGCCTGGGATGACGAGGGGTGATGGTTTGGAACTAAAAGAGAGGAGGTTTAGACTCGATGTAAGGAAGAACTTTTTTACAGTGAGAGTGGTGAGGCCTGGCACAGGTTGCCCAGAGAAGCTGTGGCTGCCCCTGGATCCCTGGAAGTGTTCCAGGCCAGGTTGGACAGGGCTTGGAGCAGCCTGGGACAGTGGAAGGTGTCCCTGCCCATGGCAGGGGTGGAACTGGGTGGGCTTTGAGGTCTCTTCCAACCCAAACCATTCCTGGATTCCATGACTCTGAGTGGGCTGCAGTGCCAGGATCCTGCTTTGCCTTCTGTACCATCAGCACCTGGAGAGAATCAGATGCACTTGCAGGCCCAAGAGGAGCTTTTCACCAGTGAGAACTCAAATCCACACACTCTGGTGCTACCTCCCTCTGTCTCCAAAGTCTCCAAGGGAAATTGTAGCTGTTGCCATTTCATTTCATTTCTTGAGGCTCTTTCAGGAAGCTCAGTGAGCTCCTTTGCCCCGTGCCTTGCAGGCACTGGGGATCTCCTGTTCCTTCTGGGCTTGTGTTGACTCAAGTGTCTGCTCCAGCCTGCCATGAAATGCCCCCAGCCCAAATTCCTTCTGCTCTTCCTGCCCAGGGAAATCACATAAAGGTGTCCTGCTTTTGCCACCCTTCAGCAAACAAGGAGAGCACTGCAGCCCAGTTGGATCTTGGGGAGGGATTTAGAGTTGTGGTCTGACTTTGAGGTCCTGAATTGAAACTGGGGCAGTTGTTAGACTCCCCCCACAGAAGCTGGACAGAGCAGGAGGGGCTCTGTCAGGTTCCCAGCAGGGCAAATGCTGCCATTGAGTTTTCCCATCCTGTCCCTTCTCCAGTACCAGGAGACTGCCCTGTCCCTTTACCCCACGAGCCCTCTCTCACGGCAGGAAACTCTTCTGGCTCACATCGCCTTCAAATTAAAGAAATTACTTGTTATCCATCCAATTTCTCTGAGAGGAAATTCTATTAAATCCCCAGAAGAAAGTGCATTATGGCTGTACTTTCCGAAGCAGGCCCTTGAATAAACTTTCTTCCTTATTTCACATAAGGAAATTCACATTTCCATTATTGCTGTCATTATGAAGCAGATGAACATTTTCTGGAACAATTAGACGCGGGTGTGTGGAATAAAGAGCGGAGTTCGCCTGAGATCATTGAAACCTATCTGTTTGGGTGATTCATTTTCTTCCAACTAGGCTGCCCATAATAAGCTTTTCTTCTCTGGCTTTGTCTTGTTTCCCATTTCAGGCAGCCACAATGCCCAAAGAATTGAAAGAATGTCTTTCCCCATGTCCTTGTGCTGTGACTGAGCCTGGCAAACAAAAAAATAAAATATATTTAAGAAGAAAATAAAGCAGAAAAAGAAGAGAAAGAGGGGGCAGAGCAGATTATAAATAAAACAAGTGGTGAGGGCAACCTGGGGTGAGAGTTGCCTTGAGAAATGTTGTAGTGTAGAAGATGGCAGATTCTTTCTGCTCCTAAATGGAAAAAAAAATATCCATGTGCATAAGAGATTTGCAGAAGATTGCTTGTCTTTGCCTGGTTCTTGTGTCATGTGGAGCCATGTGCCAAGAAACTTCACCTCCTGCTTCCATGACTTCAGTGAAGTCCCCAGTGTTCAGAAAGTGCTCCTGGTGACCCCATGGAAAATTAAATTTTCCTCTCTGGGTTATGTGCCACAAAGGTGACAGAGCTGGTCTGTAGGGCTGAGCCTGAGGAAAGGAAATGGTGTAAAAACTGTTACAAATACAGGGTGTCCTCTGCACACCTTCCCTGTGGTCTGGGGTCTTCTCTGTGACCCCAGCCCAGGGTGTCCAGGGCTGATCCCCCAGCAGGAAAGGGATTGGGATTCTGCCCCTGTGCCCCTGTGCTCAGGTGAGACCCCACCTGCAGAGCTGCCCCAGCCCTGGGGCCCAGCACAGGGAGGACGTGGAGCTGCTGGAGAGAGTCCAGAGGGGGCACCAGGATGAGCAGAGGGATGGAGCAGCTCTGCTGGGAGAGTTGGGATTGTTCAGCCTGGAGAGAAGCTCTGGGGTGAGCTCAGTGTGGCCTTGCAGTGCCTGAAGGATGTGACAGGAAACATGGAGAGAGACAATTTCCAAAGGCATGGGGTTCCATACTAGGGGGAATGCCTTCTCTCTGCCAGAGGGATGTAGTTAGAAGGGATATTGGCAAGGAATCCTTCCCTGTGAGGGTGGGCAGGCCCTGGCACAGGGTGCCCAGAAAAGCTGTGGCTGCCCCTGGATCCCTGGAAGTGCCCAAGGCCAGGTTGGACAGGGCTTGGAGCAACCTGGGATAGTGGCAGGTGTTCCTGCCCATGGCTGGGGTGGGACTGGATGGGCTTTAAGGTCCCTCTCAACCCAAACCATTCCACAGTTCTGTGATTACTGACAGAGGTGCAACTGGCTCCCATTAGCTCTTTTCCCACACCTTTATTTCCTGACAGCTTTCCCTTGGATGTGCCTGTGTGTCCCAGCCAGGTTTTGCCATTGATGGAGCAGCACAGAGCCCCAGCAGCTGCAGTGCCCATCCTAGGGAAGGCATCTCCTTCCCAAACTGGCTCCTCTCCCTGGGGAAAGGGCTTTATCCTGCACATAAAAGTGCAGTTTCCTCCTGGGTGCCTCACAGAGGACTCTGGTGAGTCCCACCCCAAGTGGAACAGCCTGAATTTCCTCGTTTCAATGGTTGTCTCAAAGTGCAACGCTGTGGAATCACAACTGCACCTCACTCACAGGAGTGGGTGCTGTGAGGCTCCTTCTTGCAGGGCTCAGAAAGCATTTCCATCTTCTTTTTGCTGCACATACATAAATACACCTGGATAATGAGAGATGACTGATAGTACAGGGAGATTTGCTGAGGGGGATGTCACTTGACCAACAAATAGGTTTGCAGGGGGCTAAAATGTTTTCCTTGTTCATCCAAAATTAAACACAAGCTTGCTGGGTGATCTCTTGCTGGTTCACTTTTTGTTGCAAGCAAGACAACAGCAGTGCAGCTAAAATTCCTGTCTGATGGCAGGAATGAGTGTCTTCCATTGTGGTTATCACCCAAATCCCCATGGAGCAGCCCGAGATTTTGTCAGGACTGCTGCAAACGCTCTGAAAATCTCCTGGCCACCTCCAAAAATGCTTTGTACTGAAGTTTGCAACTCCAGAAATTGTTGGAGAGTGGAAGGAAATAAAGAGCTTGCTTTGATTATTTTAAAACAGCGGCAGCAGCTGACGTGGGGTCTGCCCTGGGCTGCTTTTGGATATATATATTAACAGGGATTGAATGGAATGGAAGCTACTGGAGAATGTGAGGCAAGGGAAAATGTTTTTCTAAGGAAGAGAAATGGTAAAACTTAAGGGAGAAAGCAGAGAATGTGAGACCTTGAACTGAGCCTCTTTGGGGAGAGGGGGGGATGAAACAGGAAAAAAAAAGTGCCCACTTGAATAATAGACTAACTGGCGACCTTGAACATATATGTGTGCATAATGAGAGTGAAACAAAGAGCCTCTGAATATCAGGCATTCTTAGGCTGCAGAATAATAATCACAAGTGGCAAATGTAAAAAATAAAAGCAAGACATATAATATAACTGAAGTAATGGGGACCTGAACCAGCGGAGATGAGAGGAATGATGGAGGCTTCAGCAACAGCCTGGGCTCCTCAATAGCCCAGATACTGCTTGAAGCACACCCACAATTTTTGTGCTGCTCCAGGAAGATTTTTTTTTTGTTGTTTTTAATGTTTTATTATCTTGGATCAAGTGGAAACTCCATTTCTTCCGCAGAGCAGTGGCCAAATTTAGGAGAGGGGAGTTCCCCAGCTTGGTTCTGCTCCCCAGCCGTATCCAGCCCTCTTTGTCCTGCACCCCAGCTGGCAGGGGATGGTGATGCCCACGGATGCTGAGGGGTGGCATCAATTCTTGCCAGTGAGGGATGTGGCTTGATGCTGATCACTGTGCTCCACAGATCTGGCAGGGCCAGTGGGTGTAGGGATTTCCATGGAAAAGTGGTAAGGCTCCCAGTTTGTTCCCAGTACTCCCCACAGCTGTGCACATCACTGTGAAGCAGCAAGTGCTCTCGTCCTGCTTTCTGCTTTGGCCTCTTAGGCAATTCCTCAGGTCCTCTTGATCACTTAAGGATTATCTGTTCCTTGATTTCTTCTGGATTGTCTGTTTCCTTATTTCACTGAGCAACACAGTGCTCACCTGCAGGAGGCAAAGTCCCTGCCCTCTGTGTGGCTTCTGAGGCTGCTCTTCTCTCTGGGGATGAGGATATTTGATCCCAACCTTGTGCTTTTCCTGCCCAAATCCCATATGCTGTAGTTCCTTTGCAACTGTCCTTCACACCTTCATCTGATTTGACCTGAGTTCCTCCAGGAGAAATGTCTTAAATGCCTTCTCCAGATCACCAGTGAAGATGTGACATCTTCTGAGGTTCTCCTTGGCACATGACCTTCGTTTGGTTTCTTCTCAGTAACTGGGCAATTCGAGATGGATGATGAAAGATTTCCTCCTAGATCTCCCCTTTGTTTGGAGTTTCTTGGAGGCTGAAGGGGATTTTTTACATTAGATTTCTTCTTTATCCCTTCTGTCCTCAGAGTTTGTGATTTAGTGCCTGGAAGTGTTCAAAAAGTGTGTGGATGTGGTGCTTGGGGCCTGGTTGGACTCAATGTTCTTAGAGGTGTTTTCCAGCCTAAATGACTCCAGGATGTTCCTTCAGTTCTAACAAGGGTCATTTCCCAATGTGTGAGACGGCTCCACCACCTCCCAGATCCATCACCTTCCTAGAGTGGGACCCTCTGAGGACTGTTCACAGCAGAGATGGGAACTGTCTGACCCATTTCTCTGTGGAGATGGATGAGTTTTGGGTCTGAAGCCACTAAAGACTCTTAGACAAAACTTCAGCCAAGCTTTGCAAGGCTGGACATCTTTCTGTGGGTTTCCATCCTCTGAGGACCCTGGGTCCTCCTGCTGCAGGACCCATTCCTTCACACAGCCCCGTTACCCTGGGCCTGGCTCCCACTGCCTGGTGTGGATCCGTGTGTTGTCCTCATTCTTCACACCACAAAAGATTAAAGATAATACTGA